AGTGATGAAGCCAGTTCATAGATTTCTGGATCTTGGTGTTCAAATGGCATTAATAGGCTAAAATATGTAACGGTGGTCACTGTTAGAGGTGTAAACGAGAACTCGCTTCTCATTTGTTTGTTTTTTTGCGTATTTTGCATCATCTTATTTTGTTGCGCTCTGCAACAAGCTGATCCACATTTAGACTGCGGTGTTATCTATCTCCTAAAAATAGAAATATGGGAAAAGAGCTACACCGAGACAGCTGCTCAAACCCGTATCTTCCGTGTTCTCCATTAATCATGTTTTAGAAGTGCTTATTCGCCCAGTTCAATTCGAAAGCTTTTCATGTGTAGAAGAACTGCGACGTCACTCGGAGAAGAGAAGCAGCTGTGCATGCCTGGACGAGATCGGGGTTTAATGATCAGAATGCGCGCTGCAGCTCAGTTTCTCTGATGTGCTCTGTGAAACTTGATTAGAGGCGCGCTAACAAATAACTGAAGTAAGACGTCTGAGACTTCTGCTGCTTGGCGCATCTGCCACCCGCGAACGCTAAATTAACATACATGCGGCGAGCCGTGTGGGCGCAGAAAACAAAACTGCGCAAACGAATAATTAGACTCAGCCTTTCACACAAACGTCGCAGGAGGTTGTCCTCCCTCCGCAACAACAAATATTTATTTACTTTCTCCGAAGGTTGCTTAAACAACAGCAGGGTTGCAGGGGGAATGTTTTTATATGCTACAAAGGGGTTGAAATAAACGTTTTATTGCACAGCCGAAATGAAAAGCAGCCAGAAGAACATTCATTTTAGAAAATATTTTTTTAAATGTTTATTTTGTGAACGAAATAAGTTACGTATTCGTCGTGTCCTGTCCATTTTTGCTTTGGAAATTTTAGTCTAGTCTCCTTGAGATGGTTTATTTACTTCTTGAACTTTATATAGGGGATCTACTTGATATTTTCTTGGTATAGCGGGATTCATTTAGCTTTAGAACTTTATTTTTTAATCAAAGGCCTGAGTAAAGCCCTTGTTTCAGGAGTGCCTTTGGGAAGGTAACACTGCTTGCGAATCCCTGTTAAACATTACACAGCTTCATTACTGACTCCCTTGATGACTCTTGTCATTTTGCACATTTGGACTTTTCTAACACAAAGCGTGATACAAAAGGCCGGTCTTTAAAATGAGGAACAAAAGTGAAAGCCAAGTAAAATCTCCTTGGAATCACTATGACATCTTCCCAAAGTTTAAACCGTAAATATTTCAAGCTCTTGAGACAGTAAGCGCCGCCTTCTACATCTCCTGAAAAAAGCCTTTTAAACTAATACCGCACAGGAGAGGTTGTATAAAATGTCCAGTTAACAAGTTCGAACTCGCGAAACCCTGTGTCACTTTCTCTCTGAGGCATTTACGGAGATCAGGAATGTCGCCCTCTGGAACTTTCCAGTGGATACCTTCACGTGTCTGAAAATGTCTTCTTACGATTAACAATAGGTGTGCAAGGTTTATTTTTTCTAGTGAGTGGTCCTTAATGGCACCTCTTGGGGCCCTCTATCGGCGGGCTGCATTTCAGGTCGCCATTCCATAAAGGAAATTTGTGACTGGGAGTGTTTAAGGGCCGAGGTCTCTTCTTCTTCTTACTTCTGTTACTTCACAGATAAAGGAGCATTGTGCCGAGCCTAACTTTCAACTAGCCCCCATTTCTTCTCAATTAATACATGATCGTCTTCTTTCATTTCTGCATCTTCTCCGTGCAATATTGTGTTGAGACTTCGATGCCATTCTCTGGAAGTTCCTATCTTTAAAAATGAAGGGAGGCCATAGATGCTGCGTGTAGCGGTGCGACCACAAAGCATACAGTATATATTGTAATTCATTCATTTGTCACACAGTTATTATTGGGATCATCGCTATTTGATCCTATGTGATCTGTTGATCTACTTTGCAAGCAATTTATGTTTAGAAAATGAAATACATTTGCAAGTTTTGTTCAGTACAGCCTTGTAATCACCCCCCCTTCCCCCCAAAAAGAACGTTTTTTAAGTTTTTGGCTGACAGCATTGAGAGTCCTTTTCAAACAAAGTGGAACTATGGTAAAAAAGTACGCGTACTTTATAACATAGGGTGATTGTTCCTAATTCCTAAAATACTCTTCAAAACTAAAGTATCTGGAAAGTCTGTCATATGCTATGAAGTCACTATTTGTGAATGCAGACAGAAACAAGCAATGCCGTGATTAGCCCCACAAGGCTCAAATTCCTCGGTAGGGGACCAATGGGGAAAATACTGGAAACGTGACCAGACATGACATCACATGGTCATTTAGACTTTTTAAGGAGTTTTTTTTGCTCCACTTTCTGTCCGTTCAACCAATGTTTATCATCAAAAGAAGTACAAAAAATGTTAGCGTTAATGTTTTAACAGCACACATTTAATTGTGTGTTACTTTCAGTGGCTATTTCCCCAGTTACTGTAATTAGAATATACTGTATACTGATTCCCTTTTTCAACTGGCTATTAAATACTTTGAGACTAAATAAACCAGAATAAATAACACAGATTACACTAAAAGTAAAGACCTCACCTCCACACAAGACTGTTGCTTGACTGTAATTTTACTGTGTGATGGCCCACAGTCAACTGTTCTAATAAGATCTATGCAGAATATTAGGTTGTGCTCCAATGTTGCTCAGGCACTGAAAGCTCTGCTTGAGGTACCAGTTGAGGGTTCAAACCAGGGTTATGAAATTTGTTAATAGTGACAGGATTGCCTAACGTGATGAGATTCAAAATGCCAAACATCACTAAGCTGCAGGGTGGACTGGAGTTCAAACAGGATAATGTCATTATGTCTTTAATTGACAGACACATTCATCCACGTTGATTAACAAAGTTACAACTAGTAGTACATTGAAATCCAGAAGTTATTCCCTTTACTTGCCTAAACACGGCTATAAACTGTATAAATATTCATAATCAATTATCAGTCCAATGTTCAATAATTCCATATGCTCCTATAGTTTTAACCAGTACCACAACATTAGTTAATATCGTTTACACAGATCAAATAAGATTCTGAATCCCATACAAATATTGACACTAAACGCTCACTGTTTTTACAGTTGAGCTCTAGTCCTGGGCTTGTCTGTTTAATATCAGGTACTCCAGGACTGGAGCTTCATCTTCTGAGAAGATACAGTCCAATGTCCTTGTTGGTCTTAATACAGTGTGAGGTGTGGAAGCGTTACTGTACACTGAAGCTGTGT